GTGACTGTGTGGATGTGCAGGTGCGAGATAGATGTACAGATGTGTGGAGGTGGAGAGGTAGATCTGCAGATGTGAGCGTGTCAAGATGTAAATCTACGCAGGTGAGAGAAAGGACATGTAGAAAGAAAGAAAGAAAGAGAGGGCGGATGTGAAGGAGTGACAGTGTGGATGTACAGATGTGTGGGTGCGTGGAGGTAGAGAGGTAGATCTGCGGATGTGAGCGTGTGACGATGTAAATGTACAGAGCACACTGGAAGCAATCCTATCACGCGATACCGCCAATCATCCCGCTCACCAGCGACACGCCGTGTTTATGCCAGCATGTTTCACGCGCTTTCCATCAAGGATCCTAGCGCACGATACCGCCAATCATCCCGCTCACCAGCGACACGCCGCGTTTACGCCAGCATGTTTCGCGCTCGCCAGTGGCACGGCGCCCCGCAAACGTACTTCCCACCAAGGCCGTGCAAATCCGCATGGTACTGCGACATCACGGACGTAATTCGCCGCACGGTCTGCCCACATACTAGACTACCCACACGATAACCCCGACGCCGCGTTTACGCCAGCATGTTTCGCGCTCCCCAGTGGCACGGCGCCACGCGAACGCAGTTTCCACCAAGGCCGCGCAAATCCGCATGGCACTGCAGCATCACGGACGTAATTCGCCACACGGTCTGCCCACACTAGAAGCAAGCCTATCACGCGATACCGCCGCCAATCATCCCGCTCACCAGCGACACGCCGCGTTTACGCCATGTTTCGCGCTCACGGCGCCCCGCAAACAGACTTCCCACCAAGGCCGCGCAAATCCGCATGGCGCTGCGACATCACGAACGTAATTCGCGGTAATTCGCCACACGGTCTGCCCACGCACATCTCACACTAGAAGCAAACACTTCAGAGTCCAGCTCCACAACGCTGTTTCCCGCACTACATTTGTACTACAAACTGCCTCTTCTGAGTCCAGCTCCGAAAAGCTCTTTCCCGCACTACATTTGCACTACCAACTGGCCACTGCTGAGTCCAGCTCCAAAAAGCTCTTTCCCGCACTACATTTGTACTACAAACTGGCCACTTCTGAGCCCAGCTCTGAAAAGCTCTCTCCCGTACTACATTTGTACTACAAGCCGAGTCCAGCTCCGAAAAGCGCCCAAAACGCACTCTCACCTGCATTTCGCGCCCTCGACACGCACGATCTCCGCAGAGGGTTGCGCCGGACCGGGCCAAAACGCACTCTCGCCTGCATTTCGCGCCCTCGACACGCACGATCTCCGCGCCGGACAGAGACAAATAACGCACTCTCGCCTGCATTTCGCGCCCTCGACACGCACGATCTCCGCAGAGGGTTGCGCCGGACAGAGACAAAATGCACTCTCGCCTGCATTTGGCGCCCTCGACATGCGCGATCTCCGCAGAGGGTTGCGCCGGACAGAGACAAAACGCGCTCTCGCCTGCATTTCGCGCCCTCGACACGCGCGATCTCCGCAGAGGGTTGCCCGCGACCGGGCCAAAACGCACTCTCGCCTGCATTTCGCGCACTCGACACGCGCGATCTCCACAGAGGGTTGCGCCGGACAGAGACAAAGCGCACTCTCGCCTGCACTCGACACGCACGATCTCCACAGAGGGTTGCGTTTCGTGGTGCTCCGGCGGTACCGCCCCCGGCCTTAAGAGAGAAAGTAAAGAAGAGCGAGAGGTGAAGATGCGAGATCTAAATGTGAGGATGTGAAGATGAGCAGAGATGCAGATGTGTGAAGATGAACATGAGCAGAGATGTAGATGTGAGCATGTGAAGATGAGGAGAGATGTAGATGTGCAGATGAGCAGATGAGGAGAGATGTAGATGTGCAGATGAGCAGAGATGTGGGTGAGAATGTGAATGTGCAGAGGTGAAGATGCGAAGATGTATTCTGCAGATGTTTTTTTACGAAGAACCCTTCGCAGACGCTCTCGGTAAAAAGCAAACCTGTGCTGAGTTGTTTTGTGGGTGGCTTGGGCTTTGGGTTCCGGCCAGGTGTTTCTTGAAAGATTGCCGGGTAAAAAGTTCATAAAAGTCAACAAAGTCAACAGGACATGTGAGGAAGAAAGGGGCGCGTGCGTTCACATGTTTTGACCTGTGCTTTGGTGAGTTTCATCAATGGTTTTGATTTTGATTTGACAAAGATGTTTATGGGATCCTGGTCACGTTTTGGCTTATAGTTATAGAAATGCGGCGGTCAACCCCTCCCATAAAGCGATTTATAGATACCAGGGGATAGGAGAATAGGAGGGGTGGGCCCTCCCATTTTACAGAGAAAACGGGCTTGTTGCAGTGTGTGTGTACAAGTTTTTTCACTTTTTGTCAGTTGACGTGAACTGCACTCATCCGATCCGTAGCCGTTTGATCATTAATCACGAAAGGTAGCCTGGTAAGGACTACCTTGAGTTTGCTTTGCGAAGCAAAGGGACTGGCTTGAGAGCTGCTCGGGATTGGTAGATCAATGTCTAACACCCCCACCCCCGCCTCCCCCCCACCCCCCTCCCATGTGATGAATGATTGATAAATCAATTGATTCGACCCCCCCCTCCACTCCCCTCCCCGTCCCCTCCCCTCGTCGCCAGCACTACTAAATTCTGGACATAAGGTGAAGTCATGCGCTTAACAGTCACAGCAGTACGACGCTGGCCATGAGGTTGCGCAATACAGCACGAACCCTGCGCAATGAGGTCGCGCAATGCAGCTTCGATGCCGCGCGCGCGCACCCGGCAGCCTGACACAGCGCGTACTGCGTTCACAGACCATATTGCTCGACACCAGCGAGCATCGATGCAACACAGCCACTCTGCAAAGCCCTGTGGAGAAACCACTCGCGTTGCGGAACACCATTCGACTCAGCCATATACCCTAGCGCTAGCGCGGCGAAATCTTACCGCATCGTGGAGCACACCCACCATAGCGTGACGTCCATCCCTGGCAGTACCGGCCGCACCCCTCCAGCACTATCCTTACAAGGGGGTTGGTCACTGAGTCACTGCGGCTTCGACGCAACGCGTGCAGGCCTGTAATCCTGACACAGTGCGTGCAGCTGTGGGACCATAGCTGGTACACATGCGAGCGTTTACGCATTGCGACTTTTACGCGCGCCTGTTTTCACACGCCTAGACACAAACGAGCGTCGACGCAACGCAGCCTCTCTGCAGAGCCGTGTGGCGCAATCTGACCGCAACGGTGTTCCTCTTGAGCCTTCTTATGCCTTCTTGTGCTCTCTGGCTTTGTTGGTTTCATCCATGATTGACCAAGGGGCACGTTCCTGAAACACCGGAGACAGTCCCTCACCAGAAAAGGTCCCGACAGCTACTCGGTCCGTCTCTACCTTTCGTGTTTCCCCGCTCAAGTTTGATCAAGATGAGCGCTCCTGCTGGATTACCGATTACCGGGTCCATACAATGTCAGAAGATGTCCTGCCAAAATGGCAAGATGGAGCCCCCTGTATTCAATGAGAAGCATGAGTGTTGGGAAGCACACTGGTGTATTTCAGTAATTTTACTTGTGGGTTGCCCTTTGGATCAATAACTTCACAGCTTTGGGACCTGGCAGGATCTGGGAAGCCTATAGGCCGCCTTTTCTCTAAAACCTGGCAGTCCCCACACCTCATCTCTATAAAATGGCATGCCTTAAGCTTCTCGCCACTGTATAAACAGGTCTGCTTGTAGACCCCCACAACAGAATTCCTTATGGCAGGCTGAACATTGCCAGTGGCCAACATCGAGTCTGCGTGTTTATGCATATACTTTTACATGCGCGTGTGCCTTTAGTTCACATCATTGAGGCCCAGTCCAGCAGACTTGGCAGATCCCCGTAGGGCCTGGCAGCCCCCCAGCCCCACCTCATCTTTATAAAATGGTCTGCCTTAACCCCCTCACCGCTGTATAGAAAGGTTTGCCTTTGGACGTGTTTACAAAAAAGTGGCCAACAATGATTTTGTATCTACTGTATATAAACAGATCTATTTGTGGGCTGCCTTTTGGATCAAGAAAATAACTTCAAAGCATTGGGGCCCAGCCCAGCAGACCTGGCAGGATCTGGAAAGCAAACCTTTTCTCTATAAAATGGCATGCCTTGACCCCCGCACCACTGTATAAAAACGTTTGCCTGTAGACTTGTTGTGAAAATTTTCCAGGGCCCACAGCTGCATTTTTTGTGGCAGGGTGAACATTTTGTGGCAGGTAGAGCCTTTGTGGCAGTCCAGCTGGGGTGCGATGGGAAACTGCAGTTGCGTTTGGGCAGCCTGCAGGCCCTGATTGGAATAGTTTCCAACCCACTAAAGAACAATCACCTGAGCAGCGCAGAAAAGTGGAGACAAAAAATGATCCAATTTTGTACACATTTCGGAGATGCAAAAAAAACAGAGAAATGACATGGAACAAGATAAATCAAGTTTCAAAGACTCAAGAAAACTATAGCGCCCAGAAATCTTGCCTTTTTAACCTAGAAAACATGCAGCCTCAGAAGTGATTGAAGTTTAATGAAAATCATAGCAAAGCAATAGAAAAATGACCTGCAGACTACTCATTTTATATAAATTAACGTTAGGTAGACTTTTCAATTTATACACGTGTGGGGGGTTGGGTCCCCCATTTTATTTCTATAAAATTGGTAGAAGGACCCCCCCTGGTGAAAGGTATGGGGGATTTTATGGGAGTGATAATGTTGTACAAGGAAGTTTGGAAGTCACGTCATCATATGTCGCAGTCTCACAAACTGTTGTTCTTTGCGTCCAGCATGCCATTTGCATTGCTGCATATGTGTAGGCACGTTGCTGACAAATGTGTTACAATCTAAATTTAGTCTGCATATGGTATGGTTTGTGTACCACGTTTGCTTCTGGCAAATGTAGGTTATGGTGTGTCCTTGTTCCTGCTTGCCTGGTACACTGGCAGCCCATCACACATTCAAGCTAGCCCACCGTCATCCCTTCAGTATTTCAGGGCATGTGTTTTGCACTTGCGCATCTCAGGATGTAAAACCGGAAAACTTTCTCTACGGCGGGCCGAATGGCTCGACCTTGAAGCTTTGTGACTTTGGGCTGGCATTGCGACAGCCTAAAAAGGGCAAGAAATTAACAGGGATAGGAGGAACGGCTCCTTACATGGCGCCGGAGATTTTGATATCCAGCTCAGGCTGGCCCTCGAATGAGGGGTACGACAAGGAAATCGACATGTGGGCTATGGGCGTAATTTTGTACTTGGTGCTGTACGGGCAATTCCCTTACATGCCAAAGGGCGAAGCCACTGCGGATTCGATGAAGACAGCAATCCGGAGCAATTCGCCACCTTTGGCCTTTCCGCCAATACAAGCCCTTGCAGCTTTAGGCTTGGTGAAAAAATTGTTGGTCAGACTTCCGGCAGACCGAGCCACTGCAGAAGAAGCGCGACTGGACCCATTCATATCAAAAGCTTCTGGCGCATTTGGCCCCACAGAAGTGACCGTCGCGCTGTCACAGGCGAAGGACATCATCGTGGTGTGCTGCTGTTTGGCATCAAAAAGTCTCAAACGCCCCGTGTTTTGGCAGGAGATGGCTGAAAGACTCAAGGAGTTCCAAGTAAGTGCCTCCTCACAGAGGGACCTTGAGGCCAAGTTGACACTCGTTCGCACAAAGTTAGTTCTGTTGAGCCAAGGATTTTCAGGCAGGTAACAATGAACATGCCCGATTTCAGATGGCTTATTTTGCGGCAGGCTGGGGGTCAAGCAATCGCTTTGCTTGTCGATGCGTTGGAAGCGTGAACTTGCGAAGGAAAGCCATGACAGCCGCGCGCGGTGGAATCTGGTTTTCAGAATCTGAAGCAGTTTCCCCGACGCAGTCCCAATGTTCAGCTACATATCGAGTTCCTTGGTAAAACGGCTTCAGTTTGGGGCAATGCGCTTGAACTTGTTTTTGCTGACTCGATGCAACTCTCTTGCTAAGGCTGAGGCTAGGATCAAGAAGGACAAGAAACCAGTCTCACGCGACAAATTCGGATGCTTGCCTCAAGAAAGGGTTTAGAAAAAGGAACGTCGTTTGTGTTGTTTTTGTTAATGCTTCCAACTTCTATGGTGATTCCAGCGCTTTGTCGGTTTTGTTGGAGTACGTTGAGCCAAATATGTTTCGCCGCAAGCATGATAGGTGGAGAAGCACCAGCTGCCGTCAAGAGTCAACACTGGTTCAATATGGGTCAATCATTTTAGACTTTCAATCTTGTGCCTTCACCTAGTGACGTGAGCCCAAGCACCTGGAAAACAAGGAACTCATTCAGGAGTCGTCAGCGAAGAGACCAAGGACTTCGAGGGCAACGCAGCATGTTGACTGCAACATAGGGGGGCCTTCGGCTCCTGGCCTTACTACTAGGAGCAAGGACACTACTAGGGGCTCCTGGCCTTACTACTAGGAACAAGAAGCTACTAGGGGTTCCTGGCATCGCTACTAGGAGCAGGGACGCCACTAGGGGGCTCCTGGCCTCACTACTAGGGAGTTGGGAAATGCCTTGTTGTTTTGCTAGGACGTGTACCCGGAGGCCCCTTTGCAGTGAGATGCTGCACGGCTGGTGGGCACAGCCGTCATGGCTCATGGTTTGCGTTGCCAATTCGTTTCACTTCTCCCACTAAGAATGAGCTCAAGCTGGCTCTGAAAGTGCCATAGTCGCAGGCCACGTCCATGGACCATGGACTAAACATGTTTTAAACAAATGTCAAATGTCTTGTAAAGTACTTTCTATGTTTTGTGCCCTGGCCTGGAGCTCTCCTCAAGATGCGACGCATAGAGGGTCTACATGCGGCGCCCTTTGTTTTTGCGCGCGCAACCAGTGGACGGCGGCATTTGGGTTGGCGACTTGCGTTTAAGCGAGCGCAACTCCAAAATTAAATAAAGTGCCCAACAACAATGATGCCGACCTCTACGTGTATATATATATACTTCTTTAATGATCTATGTAAATACGTTTGTATAATGAGTTCTTGCTTTTGTTGAATCATTTGTGACCGTGCAGTTCAAGCCTAAGCAGGCACTGTGTAAACAGGTTGCCGCAAATGGAGCCATGCAACTTCGTAAGTTGACACTTGGCCACAGCATATATATAATCATATATATAATCATATATGTAATATATTGTACAGATGTAGATGGACAGCGTTGAGGTTTAATCCACTTTGATTGGTTTTTGCATGTTTTTGCACTGTGGATTGACTATGAATATATTGTGCATCCACGGGTGCTGGTACACCAGCAACTCGGTGCACGTGATTTCATGTGTATACCCATTTTGCTTTGTGCGCCGGTGATCCTGTAAGAGTTGGGTGTGGAGGGTGAGGCCATCGCTCCGTGGGTTGTGTTTGCCAAACCTCTTTATGCCATTTAATTTTGTGTTTTGTCAAACCAACTATTTGTGCCCCCCAAGTGACTGGGTCTCAGATGAACCAAGGTATGGGGTTGACACCACAAATGATCCCCTTCACCAGCGAAACGTTGCATTTACACAAGCATGTTTCCCATTCCCCCACGGCACAGAGCCACACAAACGCACTTTCCACCGGCACCTCGCCAAACTGCACGGCGCAACGACATTGCAACAACGGCACACCAAACCTCATTCATATGATTCATATGTCAAAGCATTCCGCTCACCAACATGCCGCGTTTACACGCGCACATTTCCCATGCCTCAATGGCGCGGAGGGCCGCACACCCACTCCCCCCAGCCCATTTTATCCATTGGCCCCGCACGGTAGCATCGCATCAATCATTTCAATGTAACCGTGCAACAGTGCAACATTAAAACCGACATTTACATCTAGACCAACCATATGTATCCATATGTCGCATGTACTGTACACAAAATTAAGTTGTGCCCGCTGGCGGGTATATTTTCCACCCGCAGACGAAGACGAATTCTGCAGGCGCAGTTTGCAAATTAGTAACTCCTCCGTGGAGACGAATTGCTCCCTGAAGACGGTTCCCCCCAAACACGTAGTCGACGAAGACAAATTGCAACGACATCAGCTAGACTGCCGCAAAACATTCGTTTGCCTTGCCGACTCGCTCACTGGCGGCGAAGGCATTGCAATGGTCAAGGTCTCCAACGGGCGCACCCAGCAACTCCCAGGCTGCGACTTACTTCACTGGGAGGCATGGTGGGAAAGCTGACAGCTCAGCGGACAACGCCTGCAGCCAAAACCAGTTCGCACTTAGACAGTTCAAGCGACAAAGCTGGCTGAGGCGACTGCTGCCTGCAAGGCTCCTAACGCATTCCCCACAGCGTCGGCTCGACCGGCAAGGATGACGTCATCCAAGTACGAAAAACAAAGTTCAACTGGGCACTGGGCTGCCTTGCGCAAGGCAGGTTGAAGCGCCACTGAAAAAAAGCAAAGGGCCAAGCGGGTCTCCCTGTCGCACCCCGTGCGAGGAAGGGATGGCGTGCTGTCCAAAACGGAGGATCGAAGGGGCCCACAATAGCACCAATCCACCCTGCTGGGAAAGCGATCCGTGTTTCATACAAGGCCAGACGGTCCCCAGTGCTGAAGGCGTTTTTGAAATCAACCTTCAATAGAACTTTGTCTCGGGCTTCGCTGTTGCGAGCAGTCCATTGGCGGGTGGCACGCACAGCGGCTTCGCCACCCATCCGGGCACCAACCCCCACTTGGGCAGGCCAGAAATGTCGAGAGCAGTCCTCTCGCACAGCCTGGCATAGGACCTTCCCAGCCAATCGCCGGAGCATGGGGCGCACGATACCGGTTTTTTTGTTTTTTGGCAAGGCATGCAAGGCCGCGCCGGCCAAGTAAGGGGCGATGGCTGGGGGCACCTCCTAACACTAGCTGGGCAGCAACTGCATCGCCATGGGCTGTTGATAAAGTCTCCTTGATGTGGTCGGTCCGGAGGCCAGACGGGTCTGGCACTGAGGCTCGCGCAAAACTGCGGATGGCACGAACAACTTCTTCAGTGGAAAATTCAGGCACAGCTGCAGGCCTCATAGGGCATATAATTTGTAATTATTTAGGAAATAAATAGTGATATTGAAATTTATGTTATGGAAAACGTATTTTTTTATATATAATATAATTAATATATATATATATTAATATTGATTAGAAGGGGAATGTGAGTTTAGGGTGCACGAGCCTAGGAATATTAAAAATCTATGGTATTATATATGTTTAATTTTTATATTTGATTTAGAAATATTGTATGTTTTGAATATATTGATTTTAGTTATTTAGTTTATTTATTGTAAGGGTTTCGCCTTGGTGCCGTCGATCCCTTTTTGTAGGAAGGATTTGTAGTGAAAGCCTAATGTAGAAACGAGGAGTGAGAATTCCATTAATGTAGAAGCGAATTGCGACGAGCGAGAATTTTTGATGTCGTCGAAAACGTTTCGGTAATTGTGTTAAAATTGACGAATTTTATAGTAAAAGATTGTTAAAATATTATTTTATAGGGTGTGTAAGGGTAATATGGAATTTTAATGAAAAGGATTAGTGAAGGCTTGCGTCGTAGAGGGATTGGGCCGAATATGGGTAAGAATGGTTGGTACGTCGTTTTCGGGACTATATATAATAGTTATTTAATATATATTAGAGGCTTATTTTTAAGGTTTCTGGTAATTTTTTAATTATGATTTTCGATTAGTTAAATTTATATTAAAAAGGAATGTTACGAAAGGTAGTTTGGTAAGGACTACTTTGAATTTGCCTTGCGAAGCAAAGGGACTGGCTTGAGAGCTTGCTCGGGACTAAAGATTGACTTGCTCGGGACTAAAGATTGGTAGATTAATGTCTAACACTCCC